TGCTGAACATCTTCGAGCTCAACGGGCTCCCCTCCGAGGCCAACCCTTATGTATCCACACCCCGGGGGTCCCTGGGGCGGGGCGGGGTCGGGGGGACGCCGGGGACACGCCGGGGGTGTCGTTGTCCTCAGCTGGTGACAGATTTTCAACGGGGACTTCGTGGACCGCGGCTCCTTCTCGGTCGAGGTCATCCTGACGCTCTTTGGCTTCAAGCTGCTCTACCCTGACCACTTCCACCTGCTCCGAGGTACTGCCAGGGCCTGGGGGGCGCGGCCCGGGCCCCCCCGGCTGGGTCTGGGGGGGTCGTGTCCCCACAGCTGTCCCCTCTTGTCCCCATTGTCCCAATGGATCACTATCTGGCAGCGCTTGTTGTACGCAATAGATCACTTTCTGGCAGATATTGGGGAGTATTTGTCACCGTCCTGTCCCTGTCCCTTGGGGCTGGGGACATCCCTGTCCCTTGGGGTGGGTGGCATCCCTGTCCCCTTGGGACTGGGGACATCCCTGTCCCTTGAGGACATCCCTGTCCCTTTGGGTTTGGTGCCATCCCTGTCCCTTGAGGACATCCCTGTCCCTTGAGGTTGGTGCCATCCCTGTCCCTTTGGGATTGGTGTCATCCCTGACCCTTTGGGATTGGTGCCATCCCTGTCCCTTGAGGACATCCCTGTCCCTTGAGGACATCCCTGTCCCTTGAGGTTGGTGCCATCCCTGTCCCTTGGGGACATCCCTGTCCCCATCCCCAAGACCAGCTCGTGGTGCCACATCACGGGGTCGTGTCCCCGTCTGTCCCACTGTGGGGCACATCCCATGTCCCCCGCGGGGTGCAGGACCCTGTCCTGTGTCACAGGGCCACTTCCCCTGTCCCCAACCCTTGTCCCCTGTCCCACGTCCCCCACACCCAGAGCCCACCCCACATTCCTGGGGCTGTCCCACCCTGAACTGGGAGCCGTGTCCCCAACCCCGGCAGTGTCCCCAACCCCGGCAGTGTCCCCAGCCCCAGCCGTGACCCCAACCCCAGCAGTGTCCCCAACCCCGGCAGTGTCCCCAGCCCCAGCCGTGTCCCCAACCCCAGCAGTGTCCCCAACCCCGGCAGTGTCCCCAGCCCCAGCCGTGTCCCCAACCCCAGCAGTGTCCCCAACCCCGGCAGTGTCCCCAGCCCCAGCCGTGTCCCCAACCCCAGCAGTGTCCCCAACCCCGGCAGTGTCCCCAGCCCCAGCCGTGTCCCCAACCCCAGCAGTGTCCCCAACCCCGGCAGTGTCCCCAGCCCCAGCCGTGTCCCCAACCCCAGCAGTGTCCCCAACCCCGGCAGTGTCCCCAGCCCCAGCCGTGTCCCCAACCCCAGCAGTGTCCCCAACCCCGGCAGTGTCCCCAGCCCCAGCCGTGTCCCCAACCCCAGCAGTGTCCCCAACCCCGGCAGTGTCCCCAGCCCCAGCCGTGTCCCCAACCCCAGCAGTGTCCCCAACCCCGGCAGTGTCCCCAGCCCCAGCCGTGTCCCCAACCCCAGCAGTGTCCCCAACCCCGGCAGTGTCCCCAGCCCCAGCCGTGTCCCCAACCCCAGCAGTGTCCCCAACCCCGGCAGTGTCCCCAGCCCCAGCCGTGTCCCCAACCCCAGCAGTGTCCCCAACCCCGGCAGTGTCCCCAGCCCCAGCCGTGTCCCCAACCCCAGCAGTGTCCCCAACCCCGGCAGTGTCCCCAGCCCCAGCCGTGTCCCCAACCCCAGCAGTGTCCCCAACCCCGGCAGTGTCCCCAGCCCCAGCCGTGTCCCCAACCCCAGCAGTGTCCCCAACCCCGGCAGTGTCCCCAGCCCCAGCCGTGTCCCCAACCCCAGCAGTGTCCCCAACCCCGGCAGTGTCCCCAGCCCCAGCCGTGTCCCCAACCCCAGCAGTGTCCCCAACCCCGGCAGTGTCCCCAGCCCCAGCCGTGTCCCCAACCCCAGCAGTGTCCCCCCCCGGCAGTGTCCCCAGCCCCGGCAGTGTCCCCAGCCCCAGCAGTGTCCCCAACCCCGGCAGTGTCCCCAGCCCTGGCAGTGTCCCCAGCCCAGCAGTGTCCCCAGCCCTGGCAGTGTCCCCAGCCCTGGCAGTGTCCCCAGGCGTGGCAGTTGTCCCCGTGTCCCCTCAGGGAACCACGAGACGGACAACATGAACCAGATCTACGGCTTCGAGGGCGAGGTGAAGGCCAAGTACACGGCGCAGATGTTCGCGCTCTTCAGCGAGGTCTTCGAGTGGCTGCCGCTGGCCCAGTGCATCAACGGCAAAGTCCTGGTGAGGGGACACCGAGGGGACACTGGCACCGGGGCTCACTATCTGGCAGCCCCGTTGATTGTAATGGATCCCTATCTGGCAGCTGTCATTTGCAGTAATGGATCCCTTTTTGGCAGCCGTCTGGGCGGCTCACTATGTGGCAGCTGTCATTTGCAATAATGGATCCCTATTTGGCAGCTGTTCTGGCTCACTTTCTGGCAGCCCCGTTGATTTGAATGGCTCCCTATTTGGCAGCATATGTGGCTCACTTTCTGGCAGCTGTCATTTTCAGGAATGGATCCCTATTTGGCAGCCGTTGTGGCTCACTATGTGGCAGTTGTCATTTTCAGGAATGGATCCCTATTTGGCAGCCGTCTCGGGGGCTCACTATGTGGCAGCTGTCATTTACAATTATGGATCCCTATTTGGCAGCCGTTATGGCTCACTTTCTGGCAGCCCCGTTGATTGTGATGGATCCCTATTTAGCAGATGCTTTGGCTCACTATGTGGCAGCTGTAATTTGCAATATTGGATCCCAATTTGGCAGCTGTTTTGGCTCACTATCTGGCAGCCCCGTTGATTTGAATGGCTCCCTATTTAGCAGCCCATTTGGCTCACTTTCTGGCAGCTGTCATTTTCAGGAATGGATCCCAATTTGGCAGCCGTTGTGGCTCACTATGTGGCAGTTGTCATTTGCAGTAATGGATCTCTATTTGGCAGCCCTAAAAGCTCACTATCTGGCAGCCCCCTTCATTGTAATGGATCCCTATTTGGCAGCCTGTGTGGCTCACTATCTGGCAGTTGTCATTTATAGTAATGGATCCCTTTGTGGCAGCCGTTTTGGATCACTATC